ATTTGATCACTTTATGTTATCAACTTGCAGGTTTTTTATTTTTCTATAATATATTTATAGGGTGAGTCAGAGGTTGGTGAATAGACTTCGATAAAGGAACCATTTCCATGTGTGATAATTGCTCGTATCAATTCTCCTTGGACCTTATTTAATTGTGCATCGATCGATCGGATATATTTAGAGATAATTCATTCAATGACTTGTTTTTTAAAAAAAAAGCTTTATAAAGCTCTTTCTGTTCTGCCCTTATGTTGTGTTTATTAATTATTCCTACGAAAAGAATTCATTTTCTTTAAAAATGATTTTCATATAATTGCTAGAAATAGTAATAACCGATCTATTCAAAACGTAGTTTCTTGATAGAACCTATTATAAAAACCGATAGCCAATCAATTTGTATTCACAGATGATATAATTAATTTTGTATTAAAGTAATTAACTTGCTTTTTAAAAATCCTTTTTGATCTGTGTAGGATCAAAATAAAATCCTTCATCAGTTCCATCAGAAAAAATTTGTTTTCTTTGTCAGAATCATAGCCATCATCACTACTATCAATATTATCTTCAGCATTGATAACACCGAAATCGCCATTATAATCACTATTATCTATTTGATCCTTTAAAAGATGATGAATCTCACTATTCTTAAAATTAATCATATAATTTAAGATGGTTACAAAAATATTTAATTGACTCCAGGCTGTATTCAAATCTTTATTTTCATTGGTGCATACCTAATAATAATAATAATAATAACCAAATAACATAATCCTTTTTCCGTTTTTATAAATAAATAATAAATGAATAAACAAATATCATCAGAAATTTTTCATTGTATAAGCTTTTCGAGTACAGATTTCCAAACATCATAACATTATTTGCATCATTTTGCTGTATGTGAGTTTGAGATCTGCGTGTATTTTAAATTCCACATGTGAAATTAAATTAGCCAATCAGGAATCTTATATCGAGACCTCAGTCTTTTCGTACTTGTTACGCACACGGCATCTGAAAAAATCGCAATTTATTTCTTCACCACATACATACAGTGTATGCTCTATATGGACGTTTAATAGTATTTTAGAATGCATTTGCCACATTAATCCTGGATGCGATTTTTTTAAAAAAAGAGAAAAACGAAAGAAGAAAAATCAAATTAATCATCATGGGACCAGTGTTCGAAATTCGACTGCGCCTTTACATAAACTAATCTAATTTAGAAATTATCTGCGGTTAATTTTCATATTTGGTTAGTGCGCACCGATTCCGCCGATTGAATTTCGAACAGTGCATGGGACAACCACTGCATTCATTCATATAGAAAACATTTCCATTCGATAGGTTAAGGGCAGAACTTTATTGAATATATTTTGATACGAAATACTTTCATTATTACAGGCTGACATCTTGATTATATATTAACAGAAATTTTTTAATAAAAATGATTTATTCTTTATTCTTTTGATTTTTTCATATTTTATTATTATTATAATTATTAACATTATTAGATATTTAAAGATTTTGTAAAATTTTATGGTCCAGACAAATTTGAAAACAAGACCAATGGTATTACTCCTCGCAGGTATTCATTTGTTAATTCATGAGTGGATATTATGGTTTGTTTATATATGAAGAAAAATGCAAATCAATTTTCTTTACTTTTTGATTTTGCTTTCCTTTGGTTTTTAGATGGTTACATCAAGCAAATCCTAAATTAAGTGATTTGATAACAGAAACATTGCAAACTAAAGAATGGTTAAAAGATTTGTTCATATTAAAAAATTTAACAAAATATGCTGATAATCCAGATTTCAAGAAAAAATGGAAAGCTATCAAACATTCAAATAAGGTACAAGCATAATATTTTAGTATAATATATATTTTATAAATTATATTTACATGTGTGCTAGTAATTCTTATATTTTATTTATAACTATATTATAAAAGGTGCGTTTGGCTGACTATATTAAAACACATACTAATATAATAGTAAACCCAAATGCCTTATTTGATGTTCAAGTAAAAAGAATTCATGAATATAAAAGACAATTTATGAATATTTTGGGGTAATTATAATAATTATTTGACATAAAGAAATGTTATATTTTTATTTCAAACCAATAATTTAAAAATGTTTTTTGAAAAATATGTTGTTATAGTGTTATTCATCGTTATAATGCTTTGAAAAAATTGAGTGCTGATGAAATTTCAAATATTGTCCACCGTGTTGTTATATTTGGTGGTAAAGCTGCTCCTGGTAAATTAATTAAAAACAATAATGTTATTCATCATTGTTATTATTAGGTTTTTTTTTGCTGTTACTGATAATAATTATTATTGTTGTTATTTGTAATTAAAAGGTTATTATATTGCTAAATTAGTAATAAAATTGATAAACAGTGTTGCAGAAGTTGTTAATAATGATGAAAGTATTTATGATTCTTTGAAAGTAAGTAGAATATAATTATTATAATAATTATTATTATTCAAAATTAAAATTAACACTAATATTATTAATTAATATTTCTTCGTTCATCCATCCATCCATCATTACCATTAATATTTCTAATTACTTGTCATCATTCATTTAACATCCTTAACTTTAGGTTGTTTTTATACCAGATTACAATGTATCAGTTGCAGAAATTATTATTCCAGCTTCAGACATTTCACAACATATTTCAACAGCTGGTACAGAAGCTTCTGGTACAAGTAATATGAAATTTGTGTTGAATGGTGGTTTGATCCTTGGAACAGTTGATGGTGCTAATATTGAAATTCACCAAGAAATTGGCGATGAAAATATTTTCATGTTTGGAAATTTGGCTGATGCTGTTGATGATTTAAGACATGCTCATAGGTGTGTATCTATATTTAAAGGAAGAGAGTGTGTGTGTATAAATAAATATTAATGTTATTTATTTGTGATTTCCTCCTGCCCCAACATCTTTCTTATTTTCTCTGAAGATATCGAAATGTCGAGATGGATCCAAAACTAAAAGAAGTTTTAACAAGTATCGAATCTGGACAATTTGGTGATCCAAGAATATTTTCTCCGTTAATCAATACATTAACAATAGGCAAAGATTATTATTTAATTTCCGATGATTTTGGATCATATCTTCGATCACAACAAATGATTGATGAAGCTTATAAAGATCAAGATGAATGGATAAAGAAAAGTATTTTTTGTACTGCTCTTATGGGCAAATTTTCTTCGTAAGTATTAATTATCATTTATTTTATTTTGCATAAGAATAAAGTGACTTGGAATTTATTACATCACTGTCTTACGATTCTGGTAAATAATAATGATCAATTAAAAATTTTCTTGTTTTGCTTTTTAGTGATCGTGCTATTCAAGAATATGCAGATAGTATTTGGAATGTTGAACCAGTTAAAGTCGTTTAAAAAAAAAATTTAATTGCTTTGCCATGTCAAAGAAATAATATGTAAAAAATAATTTCTACAAAATGTAAAAATAAAGAAATAAATTATTTAATTCTTTCACTGTCAATTAATCTCTTGATTCTGTTTGCGGATTTTTGTTTCTTCTCAAAGGATTATTGTTCCGATGAATGATGTCATCATCATAACAAATACCTTCTGGATGTCAGTCAACGTGGGAACACACTACTGCCATTTCTATCTATTTTTCAAATACTACTTTGCGTTATTGATTAATTTCTTGGTTGGTCATAATGTTAATTTTATGCGCTTAGTTAATAAATAAATCCTACACGGTTATCATCAAGTCTTTTTTAACGAATACTACCAACATTGATCTTTCTCAAAAAAAAAAAACCAAAAAAATTAACTACTTTCTTGCACAACTACATAACCTTAAGGACTTCTTTATCATGTCGATTCATATCAATTTATCTGAAAAATTACGATTTTTATGGAAAAATATTCGTATCAATAATAAATGATAGTAAAGGGAAAGATAATGTTTTTTTTTAAGTAGAAATTTTCGACATAGATGAACTAGCACAGGTCATCCGGTCCATACAAAACACGAGGCCTCAGAGCCTCTTGAGGCCAGTTCAAGTATACCTGATCCTATCGATATTATATGATGTTGAAGTGAGTTAGAAATTCATATGAGCTGACTTTTAATGATGGGTGTAAAATCGATCCATATTAATTTGATCACTTTATGTTATCAACTTGCAGGTTTTTTATTTTTCTATAATATATTTATAGGGTGAGTCAGAGGTTGG